TTTGTGCGTAAGTAAGGTATCGAAGTGGTAGTGTGATATTGAGCTGAGGTCGATCTTGAAGACGATGACGACGAGGGTGTTCCGAGTGAGTCTTTGAGAGAAGCGATTTCAGGCGCAGATACGAAGGTCAAGACCAAAGATTGGGTGTTGATAGTAGCCCAAACTACCGGGCCGGTTCGAATACGTACATAGAGAAGATGAAGCAGAGTGGCCAAGCTGAGATACGGATACAGGAGTGAGAGTGAGAAACGGAGACTTGCTTCCAGTGCTTGGCAGCCATGAGAGACATTCAAGACATTCAAGACGAAGTGAGACTCGAGACTCTCGAGAAAGGGCCGTACTATGGAGCAGGGATGTCCTAGCCACTGGATTCTTAATTTTTCGTGCAGGCGGGCGGGACTAGACGGCAGGGAGAAGGAGGAGGGCAGGGAGGGGTATGCCATTGGTGTTCGTACCATGGGATGGAGGATGGGTGGGTTACCTTTTGGACAGAAAGAGGAGGGCGTGGAACAGATGTGCTGGTTCACACGGGGTGGTGAATTGAAAATAAAGTGAAAGAGTTGAAGTTGGATACCACACCCTGCGCTGCCCTGCGGGCTGCGGCCTGCGACATGCCCTGCACTTGACTGCAGCCGTGGGAGTGGGAAATAGGAAGATTTTCGAGGGTACGTACTTCCCGAAGCCTTACCTAAGGCTTGGCAGATACGTACTCCGGACTCCAGAGTCTCCAACTCATCCCATCCAATGTACGGAGTACGTACCTAGGTCTAGGTATCTAGGTAGGTAGGTAAGGTACGGAGCACCGTCCGTACTTGACCGTCTCGAGGAGGTGGAGGCAAGAGATGGTTATTCGCAGCTGCCTTGGGTCAATCATAGCTTAGGTACGTATAAAGTACACTAGTGAGGTAGCTTACGCGGGTGCAAGTGCGGTGCGGGTACATTCGGGAACCTCACACCCACCCTCCTTGCCTTCAACCTCAGTTCGTTCAAGCCCACCCCCCTTGCGGCTTGTCCCAAGCTTCTCGTCAGGTCCCCTACCTCTGGGCTCTGGTGCTTGGGCATACTGGATCACATCAACATCCTTCCTTGCCTCTTACCTCAGGAACCCAGGTGCTCACTGTTCAGGAACCTCACCACGGGATATCATCGACGGCTTCTTCCATCAGTCCCTCCCTCTATCCTCACGCCTAGTAGCAGTCAGACAAAGAGAGAGACACACACAGGGACCTCACAGTCTTCGCCTGCCGCCTGGAGACTGCGACTCTGGCGTCGAAGCCACGGCCGAGAATCTGTGCAATCTGGACCACTGGTTTCTGCGCCAGACATGTCACCGTCACCATGAACTCGCATACACGCATCCTCTTGACTTCACGGATACCTACCTGATCCCTGGTCCGCTGTCCTCCGTTTGCTTGTTGGCCACGTTCGAAATCCTCCGTTCATGCACCAATCTGTCAGCACTTTTTTTTTCGTCCCCCCCCCCCCCCCCCCCACTCCACGGCTTTCCTAAAGAAACCTCACCATCGGAACCTGCGTGTCTGAATCAGGCCAGGCACACCAAAAAGTACGCTCTCTCTACTCCGTACACACTGCGGTAGACAGCGTAAGCAAACATGGCATCCCTGTTCTGCCCAGCTCCGCCAAATGAGAATCGCTCGTTTTCCAGGGCCGTTGTTTGCCTGTCTGCTGTCATTGGCAATGCCATTCAGAGGCACCGACTTGATCGTCGCCATGGGCTTCTTTGTTCGGCATTACCTCAGCCCTGTCGTCTCGAGAACCTACGCTCCTCGATCCAATCCTAATCCAACAGAGCAACGCCAAAGAGCTCTTTGCAGGCCACCTATTCGCACATATCGGGCTCATGCGAACCACGGGAGCCAACCATGTCGATTCGGGCTACGCATACTATTGACCACGGCTTCTGAGGGCCTCGTATTGAGCCTCCCACCTCCCGCCTCATTTTAAATGTCCCATCTCAGCATCAGGCTGTGTGGCTTGTACCCACCCTGACACCTTCCTTACCTTGCAGGCTCTTATCCGCCATACCTACGGACACAATCAACACCCTTGGCGTCCCCGAGCTTTGACAGCTCGCAACAATGCCCTTTTCTCCGTCCGTTTCGAACGTCTCTATGCTCTCGTCACCCGCCAACCCCAGTATGCTATACCGGCTTGGCACCGCCGTAAAGCCGTACTACCAGCATGCTTCCCGTCGTCCGTAAAGCACCGGGCCAGGTTCGGGAAGAAAACATCTTTCATTGCGTGCGATTTGATGGCCAAACTGGCATATCAATCACTCCACGCACCTGCTCTTGTTCCTCATGTGGAGCTGGAACCTCTGACGTTCCACGGCCAACGACAACGTCAAGAAAATACGACAAGCTCATCATCGACTTTGTGACTGCTGGGCTGCTTGGCTGGGTACGTCTTCATCAGCGCTCGTGAGTATCTGAGACTCGAATTCTCACTTTCGGCAAACGGACCAATAGTTGCGTTTACGGCGTTGGCCGCTCACGGCTGGACTGACGATGCAAGAATCCTCACGCTACACAGTCTCCACGACGGGTGGGAACGGCGGTCTAGTCGAATGATGGCACCTTAAAAGATGATCCTTTTGCATCGCCAAAACCTCCGAGCTGCAATGACAGGGGGGAAAGAAGGCAGAGGCTGTTGTGCTGTGCCTTGTCTTTCGCAACTCAGCATCATAATCGGAACTTCAGGGATGTGCTGCCTCCGGTGGTCCCCGGTGGTCCCCGGTGGCCCCCTACTCTCCACCTGGCCCTGCGATCTGTCGGGGTCACGCTGCGATCATGGCTCTCAGATTGGCTCTACCACAGAGCACCATGTGTTTGCCAGCCGGTTCAAGACTCGAGTATCCTGACGTCGTAGCGAAAGGAGTTGCTCGACTCTCCCGGCCCGCAGTCTGGAAATTACGCGACACGGCCCATCTCGCAGCTGCATCACGATAATACTGGAATCTGACATATCCGTCTTTAAGCCAATGTGGTATGTCAACCTATGGTCGTTAAGCTATCTACCTAGGCAACTGGAGGCGAAACCAAAATTTCTCTCTAGTTTTTCCTGGTCTCGGCGACACTCCGAGGCAGATTTGGCCAATATTCCCCCCGACTCAGCAGTATTTGGGTGCCAGCACTTGCTCAATCGGCATCGATTCTCCTACGAGTACGGAGTACACGTTGTTCACAGTCATTACGTTTGAAGGAACGAGTGCACGCAATGGATTCTACAAACCTGGTCGAGACCCATCGGGGAGTAGTCGGCCAACCCACTGCCGCCGCCGCCATCACTCTCGAGGACAGGTACCTAACAACAAGCCGAGCTACCACTACGATAGATAAAGTGAGAGAACTCTTTGCCGACGGAGACAGCAACAGGCTGTAGGACAGACGATATGAGGCTATGTTGTCGACAGTACGCTAGGCGTGGCAACCGCGCGACTCTGTTGACTCGACTTTTCGAGATCCGACAGGTGTGGAGCTGTGTAAGCTCTAGACCTTTTTTTCGTCGACCATATTTTGCGATTCCATGCACAGTGGCAATCTACTGCGGGGGTTGCACAAGAGTCACAGCTTCGGCACTGGACCTGGCCTTCTGCAAGCCATGCAGAGACATAGAGAGTGGTATCCGACGCAGTTGTGACGCTGGTACTCCGTAACCACTGCGAAAGGGCTTGGGCACAATCCACACCCGTTGACGGCACCGCGGCAAAAGCAAGCACGACGAGACCATGGCATTCAGGAACAGGCTCACTTTGCCATATCCGCTTTCCCGATGACTCGAGACCAATCAGACTCTAAGACTTCAGAGTCCAGTTTCCCTTTTGCCGCGGTTTCTTGGAGGCTCATCAGCCACTTGACCACTGGACCAAGTGGATCAAAGTCGAAAAGAATTTCTTCGATGCGGGAAGCGTCTGAATGTGCAACCCCTTGAAGGATCACGTTTCTGCCAGTTAGAATCGCAGTCGGTACGCTCTCGGTATTTCCTCATCGGGTCATTCTCAAAACATGGACAAAGCTATTGAGCTGGTCCATTAATCTGTCCACAGGCGAACCCTTCCGCGAGACTATGCTAGTTCTCCTATCCAGACATTGTAGCACCCGCGTGTCATGGCTCGCATGCAGTTCGTCACATATCACATTCGCCCTGACCATTCGAGTCTGGAGAGACTTCCGCGGGCTTGGCGCACACACTGTTGCTGATGCAATACGACTTGGGACTTCACCTGCGACCTTCATTCTCCTGGGCACTACGGACGTACTGCAGCGTGTAATCGGTCGGCTATCCGCACGTCCGCATCACGGCAGCGCGAAAGTGACACATGACTTGGTCCACTCAGATGGCTGCCAATTACGAGTTACCGAGAAATTAATCACTTGGGGAACTCCCGCTCAGTACGAAGATCAGAATCGGGTGGCTTGACTGTTGCTTGACATAATCGACAACTGCCAAACGCCAATAGTCTAAGTAGGTGACAACGTCGCCATAGCCGATTTGTGGCTGGGATGCGCCGATTTCGCGCCACCCATCGGCGCGCACTATTTCAAATGATCAGCTACCCTGTCGTTGGCGCTGCCCTCCTGTCGTCTCATTGGCCTATGACGAAAAGCGGTACGCATAGTTGCGCAGCTAACGAGGTATTTCACGCGAGGCTCGACAGGCAATTAGGCAGTGAATGCAACAGTTGACAACTGACTTATTTGTAGGATGTTGCTACGGCGGTGGGTTCAAGCTAGCTAACCACAGAAACATCACCGTCTCTACAGAGTCCAGACCCCACCGAGTGCCAGGGTTGTTGCGGATTACTGAACAGCTTTGCATGGCGAAGGAAGACGCTATGGAAAGATGAGCTCAATAGGTACTACGCACCTCTAGAACTGATCAACTGCACAACATCGGGTGGACTACGAACCGTGCCTGGTCGTCGTCGTTGCCGAGTCTTAGGCGTCAATATCGATTGTATAACAAAGTTAGGCTTTCCAGCTGACAGCAACGCTCACGATTCACCTGGCGCATAGCCCCTGGTAATGCAGTTTCATCTACATCATCTAACAAGGACCTCCCGAAACAAGCTTGTCAAGTGAAGCTGACGTCCTGGATGCCGTTACTCTATTCGGGCTCAGGGCTTGAACCCAACAGATGGGTTCGTAACCCCAAGCAAGTTGCAGAATGCATCACGATCCATACCGTCGGGTATGGAGGCACCGGGCACGGTACCACAGCAGGGTAGGGCAGCAAGGTCAGCAGCCAGCAACCAGCATCGCGACAAGCTGAGGTGACCCGGGCAGTACGCCAACCGGAACTGGGTTAGCGAGGCTGCAGGCGTGGGCTCCCGCGATCCGTGCACAGGTCCCAGAACTGTGGTTGAAGGGCGATCCCCCCCCCCGGCTTGAACCATCCTTTGTGTAATTGGGTGCCCGACATGCTGGCCGGTATCAGGAATAGTTTCCGGAAGGGAGAATGGCAATGTGGTAGTAAGCAAGGGGTTAGCGGCGGAAACGAGTCGAAGAATCACAGTTGAAGACAACGACGGATCAGATGTGCCTTTTCGACCCAGTCCCAATCCCGAGCGGATGACGAGTTTCTCAGAAGTTGGAACGCTCATCGAGACTTCCCAAGTTTCTTGTCATTGACACTTGGAGGATGCCAAAGGCGCTCTGGCTTTTCGCCCATTGCTCCAATCAACTGCCCAGAGAGACGGGATTGTATGTGACATTAGCCACGGGAGCGGCAACTCACACGGGCAGCGGACTATATCCCAGGTTTGGAATCGGCACAGGAAGAAGACAACCTCCAGCGCCTCCCGATTCCCAACTTGGTTCCATCGTTGGTGTTGCGTCGGGATTGAATACTATCGAAACTTCGCCCCGTTCGGGCAGCCATCAGCAGGACATTCAAGGCGTCAAGAACGAGCATGCCCAATCGCCCGCCTATGGGCGAACCGGCACCTAGAAGGACCGACAGGCTCTTCTAGCGGCGAAACACCATGCCGCCATTGTTTGGGTTAGACGGCCGGAGGAGGCGATATGTTGATGAGAAAAGATTTGCCTAGAACGCCACTTCTTCTCGACCTGATGCAGGTCACAGGTGCAAGACTGTTGCCCTGGCCACGTTTAGAAGGCTCATTTCCCCCTGGAAAGGGTCTCGTTTCAAAACATCGACATTGCTGGTTTATTAGTGACTGACATTGCCAGGGCCTCATTGGATTACTGGACAATTACGGGCGAAATACCCCGGCCTCTCTCGTTACGATGCTGATGACAGCAGGTAACTCTTTGCCGCCCCCACGACCTGTCCAACGACCTCTTCCTCCTCCCCCTCGTCTTTCTCATATCCTAGCACTCCTAGCTCGCTGAATTGGCCGCTACCAAATGTGGTATTGGCGTAGCACAACGCACCAAGCTCACAAGTGTGGCTGGTGACAGGTGCTAGCTAGCAGCTAAGGTGCTAGGGGTGCGACCAACTACGGATACCAAGTCCCACTTACGATTACGTGCCGCGGAGACCAAGGTTGGGAAATCCAACGGATGACTAAAGTCAAAAGTTGGGCAAAATAGGCTTAAACTTCGCCGGATCTCACCTTTTAGCAGTCGACTTGGCTGCTGTCAAACTCGAAATGGCACAGCTCACCACTGTCTATCGCCCTAACGACCCGTCCCGCTCTCTGTGGCGGCTTACTCTAACAGACGGCTTCCAACCGGCACATCGTATGAAGCGTTCGGCACCAAGCTCTGCTGCATCAATTTCCTGTCGCGAGGCAGACATTATGCAACGGTGAAGCTAAACAAGAATGTTTACCCGGTTTTCAGGGGCCTCCGGCGTCCACAATGGGGTATCATCATCTCCGTTCAGTCCGGTATCTCTTGAAGAGAGAAACCTCAACTGATACGCTTTGTATAGCCCATGAAGCGGTCGCTACTGCAGAAAAAGAACAGGGTCGCCAAACTGTGCGATGCTTCAAACGTTGCGGTAACATGATATGCTACGGCCGAGAAGTCATTGGAATAAGCGCCGTACCTCTGTACGGATAGATCTCTCCTCGTACTCTCGCGACCATGACCATAATGGACAAATATCTCCAGTGTAATTCATCACTTCAGGAAGGCTTCCCCACTGGACCTGGGCTCGTCCATTGGTATTCCAGCGGGTTTTCGCGGGGCTCTCTCGGGGAGCGCAGCGTTTCCCTGCTTTTCCTGGCGGGTAATTCTGGGGCTCCTGAGCAATGAACAATTCCCATGAGGATTTGCACGCGCCAGGCTGTTTGATGATTTGGGCCGGCCCGGGAAAACAGAAAAGGGAAGTTAAATTGCACGCCCTCATCTCAGCCTTACAGATACAGCCATTTGACAAAACACCAGCAGACGTTGAACCCCTTAATAGGGACCGTTGTTCAGACGAATCCGTACAATGAGGTTGATCCAGGCTGATTCTTACGGGAAACGGTCAACGCGTAGCGATAAGTCTGGCCCTCTACGGATATTAGACATGGACGGCGGGTATTGCGCCATGATACTCCGTACGGATACCTCCAATGCAGATACTAACGGAACCCAAGGTCCTCAAGTACCCTGCGCATCGCGGAGGACTTTGACTGATGGCCGACCTTGCCTTGCTCGCCTTACCGCGCGGCTTTCGGATTTCACGGGCAGAAGAGAGAAAAATCAGATACCGTCTGGTCTTCCGATGGCGCTCGACCGCCCCTCCGTTCTCTCCATCGGCAATCGCGCTGTTTCCCCGTCATCCGCTGATGAGGGACGGTGTGGATGAGGGCAAATTTTCAGCCTTTTACCATCACATCTCAACTTTTTGGGATTCTTTCTCAAATTTCCTACCTAACTCGGTCGGGGGAAGCGCAGTCATGCCGCATGGATGACAGAATGGGCTTGCTAGGCACCGGGGAAGCAGGGTGCTCGACCCGCTAACCAGGACAAGGCCACTTCGGCTTGTGCAGGCAACGTGGTTCTTCTCCTGGTCCAGCTTGGGTTGAGGGACCGGACAAAGAGGCGCGTCATGGCTGAACCGGACCAATACCTTGGAGCGAAATTTCGCTCCAAGGCTCCTCAGCAACGAGGAACTCCTTACTTTCGCAAGTTGAACTCAAACCCGGGCTCATGTCACTTATCAGATGCTAGCATCAGCTCTCCAAGACGCCGCATCCACTTTGCATCGCCATCTAACAGGCTCAAACCATCTCCAGAGTCCACAAAGGACTTCTCTCTATGGGCCTGATATTGAACGAGATGGACGGTCAGGCGGATCGAGACGCTCAAACAACTTCATCACAATGACCAAAGTCGCTCGTCGTCAAGCGTCCATCTTGTGGTTCCGGTCTATTTCGAGCTCTTTGGAACATGGCAATACCGGTACTGCTTTCCAGGGTGGGTGGCGTGCTCTCGGCCGTTGAGGCACCGGCATGCTCCGAAGGCGCCGCGCTGTAATCACAACTGTCAATAAAGTCCCCTGATTGACATCACGCGGATGACAGCTGGGGCGGCTTGTTAGCGAGAGAAGACGCAATGACTGAACGAGGCAAATGAGGCACTGTGGGCCTCTTTTACCAGCTTTACCAGCATGCCAGCAAGCCCTGGTCAGGGTCCAGCTTGAGACGGTTTTGACTCTTGGGGAGACGACGGAGAGACCTGAAATCGGTGCATCTGCACGCACCGAGACTCGAACATTCCTGAGCCCATGGCTGCAAGGGGCTTCTGAAGGCTCGACTCCGCCGCTCGGTCATTTGCAGACCATGGCAACCTTTCTTCTTCTGATCTCTCCGCAGATCGATGGTAGCAGTTCCAGTGGGCAGGGAGGGGCTGGGGCGGATCACGGGAGTCTCGACTCAAGCACCTTGCCGTACGAAGTTTTGCGCGAGTAAACATGGGCAGCCGGTCAGCTTATTCTCTGACTCTGATTCTGACAGAGAAGCCATTCTCGTGGCGCTTCTTTTTTGGCCACAAAGGGTCAGCTGCCTACGAGTCCCAAGTCTGTGGCAGCCCACACCCTTACCAGGCCCGCCTCGCCAGATCGCGGCACTGCCGATCTATGAGCTGAGGCTTCAAAGTGGCAGGATGCCAAGTTGCGGCCAATGGGAATTGGGCGGCGGTAAATTTCTCTGCACATCACCGAGATCTGATCGACTCGCGCGATGGGCGACACGACGCTAGACCGCTGGAATGTGGCTGCGCAAAATCTCTGGGTCTGGAGACCGTCAATGAAAGCCTATTCATCACAGATATCGCCCACAGACATGGTGATTCGTGGGGACGGTCCAGAACCAGAATCAGAACCAGTCGCGAGCATCAGAAACGTAGGTAGCAGGGGGGAACAGCAGATTCGACTCGCTTTCACCTCTCGCGACTCCGCGAGGCCGCCGATTGAGATGTGATATGATGTGTGATTTTGTTGAGAGGACTTACACTCGAGAGGGCGTGAGAGTTGGTTAGTGATGGCATCCCTGACGAGTCCAAGCAGGAGTCGAGTATCTAGTGTCTGAACACCCACTAACAAAGCAGTCGATATGTGAGATACTTCACTTTTCTGTGTGGACAGCCCACGAGTGGTGCGCTGTAGTTTTGGCGGAAAAGGCTTATAGGAGCCGGAAGCCTCGTCCGAAGTACTAGCCGCTGTCGATTGTCCGACGTCGAAGGGATAACCTTGTATGAAAGCCGCAGGTCAGCCGACGACATGGACGCATTGGGGTGGGCCAGCCTCATCCAGTCGCGCAAACTGGGCTTGGATGGGAATGTTTCAATCCCAAGCATCACGATGCGATATGCGAAGCCGCATATCGCCCGACCCCACCGGCAGGCATCCGGGAGTGTGATCTACGCACTTTTCCCAACCGAGACCAAGCTGGATCGCCGGGTGCTCGAAGGGACCAGGGGGGGGGGGGGGGGGGGACGCACTCGAGAGTTCGAGGGAACCATACCAGACAAGCTGGGAGCTATGCGACATGGGATCCCTCCCCGCCAGCATCACAGAAGCCAAGGCCAAAACCGAGTCCAAGCTCCCATTATCCTGGTCACTCTAGCGATGGAAGTGGACTGTGGTCCAGATCTCAGCTCTGAAAGCTTTCTCTTTCGTCTCTCTTGTCAAGAGTCTGTGGGAGACTGGGAGTGTGTGTGTGTGCGTGTGTGCGTGCGTGTGCTTTGTGTGGGCAGCGGCACATAGGTGGGGTTCTCTCCGATTATGACAGCCTTTTTGCTTTCTTCCCTCACATTTTCACCCTGTGTGATGCAGGAGAAATGTGAGATGTGACCGAAGGGCTGAGATCTGCCCTGACCAACATTTCGCAAGCTCTTCCATTTTGATCACGGCTCAGCTTCCCAATCTAGCATCTCTGCGCCGAGCCACTCAGCTCTCTGGGATTCCGCAACGGGACTTTGTGGTCCTTTGGATGCTGCGTATTCATTCCCATGGCATGCGGTTCCGTACAATATCGGGAAATCTGACATGTCACTGAAGCACGATCAACCGACATGGCGGTCGATCACCCACTGAGCTGTTTGGTACGCATATCTCACTCGATACCGCCGGGGCCGTATAGGTCCAGACGCCTATCAGAGGTTAAAGGCACGAGATAAAGAGGGGCGGCGGCGGGGGTGTTTACGGTTTCGCGGACGAGGTCGCTAGTTCAAGGCGCATCCGGCGGCCGTGGACGGGTCCGATGGGCGACATCAGTGCGACGCCCGACACGGGATCTCGACTTCCCATGGCCCCCTCCTGGCATCGTCGTCGTCGTCGTCCACTCCACGACCCGGGAGGAACGGACGGGGGAACCATCATCGCCGATACCACCTTCAGGCTCCATCCAGCACCCATCAAACCACCAACCACGCGAACCTTGACTCGTTCTCGCTTAAGCTATGTCGTCTCTTTTTTTCCTTTTCCAACCCATGGGGACGGAGGGGTCAACAACCTTCAATCCTTCCTTCATCCAGGTTCAGACTGGACCCGGAGCGATTCCCGTCACGTACAAAATTCTTTTCTGCTCAAACCCACGACGGCTATGGAACCCCACTGTGCGACCCTCCGTCATCAGAGAGAAAGAGAGAGAGAGAGAGAGAGAGAGATCGCGATCCTAGGGCAGTCTGAATGCAGGTGAGGACTGACAATGCGACCCCTTTTGCTGCGCTCGCGGCGCTGCAGAAAGCAGAAAGAAAATCAACAGAGGTCCAAGCGAGGAAACTTCCATCACATTGTTCAATTTTCTTGTTAATTCCCTCTATTATCCTTACCTGACTGTTCAATCCTCTTTTCGCGCTATCCTCTTTGACGATGTCGTTGCGAATGGCCGCCCCGCCCTATCGAGATGTTTTTCTGTCCCCTTTTGCCCCTGTTCCTGTTCTTGTCATCTTTCGGTTCAATGTGACCCTCTCGGGGCGCCTCTTGAGTCTTGGAGGGGGAGGGGTCGAGAGGAAACTCAAGACGCTCAGCTTCTGTGCGTAACTTTGACAGAGCCGAGGATGGGCCCATTGTGACTTGTCGCCAATGTTTTGGGTTGTTGTTTTATCCTTATCCTGTCTTCAAGTGGTCCCCTTCGGTGGTGTTACACGAGCAGATCTAAGGGGACGACTTTTTGAACTAAGCGTAACTCCTGATGATCTTGGGAAGGGGGGGCGAAAGGGCGCTTGCTACACTAGATATGCGACGTTGCTCGGTGCTCGGGTCCTATTCTCCAACGTCGTCGTTGCACTCGCACGCGGGGAGGGGCACTGGAAAAGACTCGGAAGGGAAGGGAGACGAGGCTAGGTTGGGTAGGGGGGTGTGTTGCTCGAGGACCGACGACGACGTCCGAGCAAAACCGCTGAGCGCCGTTTGTTCGATGTCCTCTTTCAGAGTCTGGGTTTGGTCCTGAACGGTAGGTACCCGTACTCCGAGGCCCTCGTGGCAAATCTGATAGTGACGCGGAACACATGGTTTCCTTTCGTCATTTTGGGCCGCTGGAAGTGTGTTCAACTTTTTTGTCTCTGGCCTCTTCTTTGTCTTGCGCATCTTAGTGCGGTTTGCGGGGACCCGGGAGCTTGCGAGCGTTGGATGACAATTGGTTCCGGTGCTGGAACAAGTCTGTATCAGATGACTCACGCCCTTTTGCTCAGTCTGTCTCTCTGTCTCTCTGTCTCTTTCCCATCGCCCAATTTGATATGTATGGCTGGGTTGAAATACCGCGCACAAAGTCACTATAAACGACGCAAATAGCGGTAGGGAATACCTTGCCATGGCCTAAACCAGTCCCGCGAGAACGGCGAAGGAGTGGAGGGGGGGGGGGGGGGGGGGGGGGGGAACGAGCGATGAACTACAAGCGCGTGGGCTCTTTTTTCTTGCTCCGTAGTCGCCCTTCTCCAGTGTAAGGAGGAGGAGGAGGAGGAGGAGGCACGGGTGCGCGGGCGAGAAAGATGGGGGTCCCACGGCACGCCGCACGCCGCACGCCGCGCACACGGGAAACAAAAGCTGAGCGCACGGAGTAGGGGTGATGCTTGTTCGGCGCCGCAACTGACACCACGCAAACCACGCAGAAGCCCAAAAAGGGCTCCATTTTCCATCTCAAGTCTCAACGTCTGATAGTCTAGGTACCGCAGCGTGGAGCTGCTGCGAGGGAAAAAGCTCTGCTCATTCCCCCCGTTGGTCCCCCTCTCTCTCCTCTCTGTCCTCTCTCTCCCGCCTATCGCCTGTCGCCTGTCGCCCTTGCCCCCAAACCCCCTTACGGATACCACCTTGGAGAGTTTTTTTTTGCCACGCTAGAGCCCCAGGACACTTCTGGACGTGGTCCTGTGATTTGTTCTTTGGGGGACCTTTACTCCTCTCGAGTAATCTTGAGCAAGGGAGACATGGCGAGAGAGTGTGAAAGAGAATGAGAGATGAGAGCTGGCGCTTGAACCGTGAATGGCTGGCTGGACCTGCGCTGGGCCGCTGGGCTTGACTTGATGGGCTGGACTCTGGGCTTTGGGGGGGGGGCGGTACTGGAGACTCAGGACGGGATACGTGGGCACCATGGTGGGTTTGAGGGGTGTTTAGGTAGCTGCGATACCGTTGCCCAGCACTCCGTTCCTGTGGCTTTGGTTGGAGGGGCACGATGGAGGAGGGGAGACGCAGGTTTGACACGTTGGCAGGTCCTGTAGAGATGGAGCATGGCAAGGAGGAGGTCAGTAACAGGAGGAGCATGATGGGGGGAGGGGCGAGAGATGTCGTGCAGTTTACGGATACTTTTGGTAGTCAACGGTCGAAGTCCTATCTGCCTTTGTCTCCATTCTCCATCATCGTGACCGTAGTCATCAATCATCGTAATCCTGTAGTTTTTCTTGTTCTCACGCCCTTCCTCACGCTGTCATATCTCGTCCTACTTGAAAGCGCAGCCCACCCGGCCTCGCGGAGCGCGGGACTTCGGATCCGCGGCCGTTGGGAAACCCCAAATCAAGAACCCAGCGTGCGGTGTTTTTTGTTCCTGTATGTGTGTGCTTTGGTGACCTGTAACAACGGTGCCACTCTGGTTCAGATGGAGAGTGAGTGAGGTCTGTCTCTTGGGATGTATCACTCAGTTGTAGTGTGTGTGAGCTGTGTTCCATTCACTTTGGTTTCTTCTTTTTGGTGAGTGTTCTTATGTCTTGAAGAAGTGGGGGAACAGGGTGAGGGAGGTATAAGACCACAGCTAAGGCGGTAAGGTAGTTGCGAGCGAGACAAGGTTAGGTAGCTAGGGGTGTGTAGAAGTGGGAAAGTGTGAAAAGTCGTGAAAAAGGAGAGACACGATTCCAGAGACATGGTGGTCAGAGGAAGGCGGGGAGAGAAAGGACGAAAGGGGGTTCAGTTGGGTGTTGAACCAAGTGGCATGAGAAACTGAGATGTGGCCTGTTTCTTCCTCATGTCTAGGTCTTGGATCGGAGATGGGGGAGCAAGAATGCTGGCCAAAGTCGCAGATTCGGGAGAGTCCGATAGGTACGGATACAACAGCGATTGCCTTCTTTTCGCAAAAACGCCATTTCGGCATTTGGGGGAAGCCCTGAGCCAGAATATATTTTGGGGCTCTGAGTGGATGATTTGTGATGGATGGGTAGGTTGATGACTGCCTCTTTGTGTAACCGTTACGTTGTCTACCCGCCTCTTAGAAGGGGGGTCTTCCGCGCTTAAGATGAGATATATCCCAGATAAGGTATTTCCCGAGTTGACGATGAAGGGAAGGCGTCGGCTATCTGGTCACCATGACGGGAGATACAAGGATGTACTGGTAGATCTCCTGTTTCCCACGCTGTTCCTGTTCCCTCGGCACCCTCCCCATTTCCTTCGAGACTGATTCCTGGAAAAAGGAGCGGTAGGACGTGACAGATGTGTGAGTGTGTATGTATGCGCAGGTATCCGGAAGTGTGTGTATGTGCGCGTGCGTGCGGGTGAGATTGACAGTTGTTTATCATGAGATCCTGCACTTTGGACCCTTTTCCCGTCCCGACTACAATTTTATTTGCTTTTCTTCTCCTCTTTTCAAGTTCTTGTGTTCTCGTGTTCTTGTCATACCACGATGCCGCGGGTGCGGTCCTGATAGAAGGGGGCAAGGAAATGTGGGAAAAGACACGCGCATAGAAAGATGTACGTGTAACGTTGGGCTAGATCCGGCAAGGACTTCATAAAGGGGTCCATCTTCTCCTCTCTCTCTCCACATTGCCCGCCCGCTCTGTGCGAAGAGAAAGAGCCTGCAGGAGAATGGGACGGGAAGGTCAAGGACCTCCTCTCGTCGACGATTGGATATCCGGATCGCCTCTGCTCCTCTCTCCATCTCACCACTTACGAGATTAGGCACCTTTTGGCGATCGAGGCGCGCGTCAGTGAGGTGATGATTGGGAGTGGTGTGCTGGCTAGGCTGGCTGGGCGGGATGGATGGATGACCTGTGGGATCTGCCGGCTTCCCTTTCCGCTGGGATCAGGACGTGACATGTCAAAAAGTCTCACGGCTCTTCTCTTCCACCTACTTACGCCCCCTTTTCTTTTCTTTGCTTTTCTCTTTCTTTACGTCTCCGTACCTACGTGTGAGAACTGAGAAACGCCCCTCGTGGTTTCTGGGTGGCTTGAGGGGGTAACGGGGGGCCGGGAGGAGAGACGGAACATTCCATTTCAGGGTGAGATGGTGGTGGTGTGTTCGGTCTCCGTTCAGAAGTACCTACAGGCTACGCGGGGAAAGTAGCAAAAACAGAGTTATTACTCTGCTACGAGTGTCTCGCGAGGAAAAGGGGCGCTGGTTCCGAGGCAAGTGGGAAGGTACGCGAGGAGGAGACATGGAGGGGGGTATAGCCAGCCCTTGTGTTGTGTTAGTGGGCTGTCTGTCTCGGACGTCGAAGGCCGCGCCCGCTGGGAGGCGTGGGATGTGTGGTCTTTGCTGTTTTGTGTGCCGAGCTGTGAGAGACAAATGGGGTAGGAGGCGTATCGGTTCGAGGAGAAGGCTGGCATGGCTGGGTGGTAATAGCTTTTGTGATCTGGTATTTTGGATTACGACATGATCAGATCGAACAAGTGTCATTCTCGGGGAAAGATTCGCCATGTTCTTTGCACATCAGTCCGTGGTCTCATGACTTTGGTGAAAATCAGACAGACTTTCCATGTTTCGAAACCCCTCTCTGATCTTCTGCACATTCGAGAAGTACATTACATTGTCACACAGAGCGATAGCATTGCGTATGACAGGCCACGTGTGAGACTCAGGATCGTGGATCGGTATCTTCTTTGATGGAAGTGGCTCAGTGTTCTTCAATATTGCTCGTAGAACTAGCCTCGAAGCGATGGCACATTCCTCTGGGCTTGTTCATTCAGTGAAGTCTTGGTTCTGGCGTGTAATTATGCCCGGTGAAGGCCTTGAGCTTGCGCTTGGTAGCCTTTGAAAGTAGACTCCTCACGAAGTAGGGAAAACGGGGTACGTCTCGTAGCCCCTTTTCCAGTGCCTCCGGTCTATGTTTGAGCTTTGATAATCCATCAGCATTCACATCTATTGTGTCGACCATCCGACTCTAGTATGATTTCCTACGATTCATGATGAGGTGTCAATGAACATGTAGCTACAGTAATGTGATCTCATCACATACTGGCCATCTATTGAGCCGCCTTGAATAGATATAATGAGTGCGGTTGGTGCGAGAATGGGTATAAATCAATCCAGAACGACGGGGTGTCTCTTAACATAAGATTCGTGACCTTTCAGAGCAGTTCGAACATACGCCTGTTGTCTCGTCTGTATCGTCTCATCTTTGTTTCCTTGAATCATTTGATAGTACCGGTCTGTTTGACGATTGATGGAGCGTGAACGGCCGAGATGAAAGAAGTATGAGATATGAGATACAATGAAACAAAACGAAACGTGAAACGAAGACGCAACAGACTTTGACTACCCAGTAACCATTTGATGCGGTGCCGACTGTGTAGGGCAATAGAGAATAGTACAGGATTGTGCAATACTTCCGCCAACCATGTGACTTTTATTTTGTTTAGTTCAACTCGCAACCATAGTCTAGTTCAGAAACCTCTATTTTGCGGAATGTGAACTCCTAGCCAGGAAGCGTCCATGGCACAAAGTTTGCACCAGTATGTTATATGAGCCAGGTTCATTGACATCCTCTCTCTCTCTCTCTCTCTCTGTCTCTCTCTCTCAAAGCCAATTAGAGATTTCCTGGCGTGTGAGTTGATCTCAGCTTTGCCTATTGCTAATGACAACAAGATGGCTTCCACATGGGCTGAAACGAGGGTGAGATCAATAGCGAAATCTACAGTAGGGGCGTTTGCAATGTCCATGACTACGAAGAACACAATAGGTACCGTTTCATGAACAGCTTTCTTTATTTCTTGGGCCATGAAGCCATGAAGCCATGAAGACCAAATAACATCCCTGATATTGCAAGTGCGATCTAAGCCTCTGCCATTGAATCTCGCTCTCGTTAACAGAAATTTCCGATATGGAATGGTATCTTATTCTCACACTATCATCACAAGCCTAGGCCGCCCATTGCGGCAGGTAGTATTTGACGTTCTCATACACGAGGAAAGTGACCCAGGTAGCCGGCATCACCCTCACAACTCCCGGCATCAGGCCTCTGTAGAAACCCCTGAAGCCTTCTTCCTGCCAAATCCTTCTCACAACACCCCGGATACCCCGTCCGAACCTCTCATCGGCGTCGTAATTCTGCAAACGACTCCGGAGCACCTGATAGGGGTATGTCACGGCCCCCGCGACCAGCTTCGCGGCACTCGAGATAACCACCGTCGCCTCGTTGCTCAACCGCCCGCCATTGTCGCCCTTGCGCTGCCTGCCAGCGAAGTACATCTTCTTGGCGGGCTCGTACACGGCAAACTGCACCGCGCCGTGCGAGACCCCGATCAGACTGACGCCGAGGCCGCGGTAGAAGCCCCGCAGACCCTCGGAGCGGTACAGCTGCCGCGCGCCGGTCCACATGTCGGCGTACGCGCCCGCGGCGGTGCGGTCGGACGAGAGCATGCGCGTCTTGAGAACCCAGACCGGGTTCGTCAGGACCTGCGTCAGCGCGCCGGCGAGCGCGGACGACACGAAGAAGTCCTGGGTGGCGAGGTACTCCTTTGTCAGGTTGCGGGCGTCGGCACCGGAGCCGCTCGTCAGCGGCATGTAGCCGGCTCTCCAGAGCGCGATGGCGCGCTCGACGCGTGACTTGAAGAAGAAGAAGGCGGACCAGCTTGAGGCGTTGCCGATGAGGTTCGGCGTTAGGCCGCGGTAGAGAGAGGCGATGGGATGCGGGTTCTGTGTGAGCGTGCGGATGAGAGACATGCTTGTCAACGACACTGAAGGATTTGCCGCGCTCCGGTGAACTAAGTTTGTCTCGTCAGCGACTGTTGTTGTATAGTTTGCATATAGATATAGCGTTGCTTCACTTACTCTGCATCCGCGTCTTCACGATATCAAGCGGGTGAACTACCAAAGTCGCAACCGAGCCGGCCGAGAGACCGGCGACGGACTCGACCAGAGCGGGTGAGATGCCCGCATGTTTGCTTTCTGACATAGAAGTGAGAGAGACCTCTGTCACATTGCTCTATGTAGAAAACGTGACTGCGACCTCACGCATCCAGTTGTAGAGACCTCGGTGTCGGGAGTTTTGTAAAAGGAGCTCAGTGAAGCGTTGGTGTGGCTGATGACTGTAGCTTACCAAAAAAATGCGACCAAATGATTATTCATACGTCATGTTAGCTTATGAAATTGCGGCTCCGCTGTCACTTTTTCAGAGCTTCAGCCACAGTTAACCTCCTTTCGTGACCGGAAAGTAAGGTAGGATATCAACGGCCACAATGCCCGTAAATGCAATTGTTTTTGACATATTCATTCTGTTGGCCTCAAATATTATGTAAAGCCCGCATCTATCATCTTGAACTGCGGCTGTAAAGCTTGTTGACTTCCGCCTGAGCCTTCAGCTACGTATTCCGTCTTTTCTGCTTACAGGCACTGGCAATTCGCGGTGGGAGGAACGTTTCCTGGATTTACCTCAAGCTCTATCAAACGTGGTGTAGAAGAATGAGCTGAAATGCGCGTTCTATCCGTCGCCGGGCTCCCACGGCCCGTTAACAGCCCGCCGACCGCATCTATTTACCTCCAATATTGGTATCCGCGCCACCAAACCATCCGCAGTTTTATACAATAGAGAAGAATATGTCGTCAGAGGGGTTTCATTTGATTACATATGTAGTTGTACAATGCGCCGGAGCCACGGCCTGCATCTTCCTCGTCACCATTGCCGGTGATCCATTGTGCCACCCCCGAAATGTTGGCTAGCATCCAAAATGTCGCAAGCCTGATATTGTACAGAAAGTCGATATTGAGACACGCGTCGTCTAAGAGAGGGGAGAAATAAGGCTGGAGAAGGATTAGTTGCAAAGTTCCACGGTAGTCGCGCATCTTGGGGTACTGCATACCGGATGAAAGCGGGACGGGGCTCGCTGCGAGTGTAGCCTGCAAAGAAGTGTCAGTTTCGTCGATGTAGTGGTGAATCATCGAATATTCATTGGCGTCGTACCGAGGTAGAGAACGAGAGGGAGGTATCCGCTACGAATAGGTCAGTTACTGGCTTCAGTTCTCATCGAGTGCAGGAGGATACATACTAGTGAATGGCAATGCGGGAGATCTCAATGATCTTGCCAATGCGCTCCTACAATATGTAATGATTAGACTCGACTCTATGCGACGTGATCTAGCTGTCGTTGCGGTGTCGCACCTTGGACTCTTCGGAGAGGGCGAACATCTTGACGGTTGGAATGTGACGTCGACGGTATTTGATACGTTGAATCAACTTGGGTTCGCGTGATGGCGGTCTTCGTCGTCGTTAAGGGTTCGTGGATGTCTCGTCGTCGCTGCGTCAAGATAGCTGGTGATGAATGCGCTGGAAGCTGTTCCTGAACTTTTCTTCGTCTGCCGGAAAAACGCATCAAGTGGAGCCGCCGGAACAACCGCGCAGGGAGGCTTATCGGACCTTGCGTCGAGCGATAAGGTACGTACCGCCATAGCTCAACCGCGACTGAATGTCAAGGCCAAAATTTCTAGGTTCTTACGGTACAAGACGAACGACTTTTCGCCTCACGTATTCAGACAGTCGGATTTGTCTTGGAATATCGCTTTTTAGATCTCACAGAGAGCACCGAAAGTGCTGAGACTTCAAAATGGCACAGAATAGGCATTGGTGAGCAACAATTCGCCCCGTAGTAGACGTTCAAGGACAGAGAGCTAACCTAAGACGCGCGACGTAGGGAACAAGACAAAGATGCGACCATCTACATCGGAAACATTGACGAGCGCGCGACCCCGGCGATGGTGTACGAGGTCATGCTCCAGATGGGCCCCATCCACAACATCCACATGCCCCGCGACCGCGTCACCCAGAACCACCAGGGCTTCGGTTTCGTCGAGTTCAGGACGCCGGGCGACGCAGAGTACGCCGCCAACGTGATGAACGGCATCAAGCTCTACGGCAAGTCCTTGCGCGTCAACAAGGCCAGCGCGGACAAGCAGAAGCAGGCAGAGGTCGGCGCGGAGCTCTTCGTGGGCAACCTGGACAGCATGGTGGACGAGAAGATTCTTTACGACACCTTTTCGCGCTTCGGCCCGCTCGTCAACCTGCCCAAGGTCGCGAGGGAGGACAGCGGCAACTCCAAGGGCTTCGGATTCATCTCCTACGCCGACTTTGACAGCGCCGACGCGGCGATTGCCAACTTGCACATGCAGTACATCCTCAGCAAGGAGGTCTCGGTCCAGTATGCGTTCAAGAAGGACGGCAAGGGCGAGCGTCACGGTGACGCTGCGGAACGTGAGCTCGCCGCGCAGGCCAAGAAGAGAAACATTGTCCCAGAGATCCAGGCTGTACCGCCCGCGTTCCTCAATGGCCCGCCTCCGGCCGCTGCGCCGAGTGCCCCCGCCGGATTCGACCCCGCAAACGGCCTCCCGGTCCAAGTCCAGAACCCAGGAGCTCCCACCGGATTCGCGCCTCCGCCGAGGGGACCAGCGCAGTACAATGCCGCACCACCACCGCAAGGCATGGGCGGACCGGGTATGGGTGGGCCGGGCATGGGACGCGGCGCAGTACTGCCTCCCGCGCCATCTGGTCTACCTGCGCGGCCGCCACAGTCGCAAGGTGGCTACACGAACCCGGCCGACTTCCATCCGGGCGCCCCAGGATTCCGCCCACCCAGCGGCGGACCTCCCGCCCCGCAAGGCTTCGCTGCGCCCCCTCCCAACTTCCCCATGCCTCCTCCGGGAGCTTCTGGGACACCACCGGCGCCGCCGGGCTTCATGCCTCCGCCGGGCTTCAACCCCCCTGGGTTCCCCCGTCGATGAAAAGGATCACAAAGGGATTGCCATTCATTGGCAGTGTAAACTTACAAAACACAAAAAAGCGCTGCTTCGGTGCCGCTGCACTTCGAGGCCTCATCGTTTTCGGAAGACTAGCCGGGCGTTCGGGATAAGAGCCAGCGAGAAAACTCGTCCAGAGCAGGTTGAATCAGATTGCAATGGTCTGTCGTCACTTTGATCAGACGAGGTGTAGCCATTGCTAACATTGTCCAGATTCTCACTGAAGTGATGTGGCAGTCATACGTCCAGCCACGGTCAAAGGCAGATGCCGCACTGGCGCCATGGCCAGGAGAAGACAGCCACAGTGAAGGATATGATAGTCGTAACTCGTAGCTTAATGAAGAAATGACGATTATAACATGATTGACTTTGACCTCTACTCAGTGCATTCGCTGTGAATATATGTGGTGACTGGCCTCTGAATGTTGCCGAGCTTCATTGATGCGTCGCAATCATAGACTCCACGCTTGTTCGATGGCCTGAGCATCCAATGCAAACCATGTGGCACCGCGTCGGCAGCCAGGCATACGTAGATGTAAACTTATCAAGTAGAGGAAAATTCTGAGAGAAGAATAGCTACTTCATTCCAGATTCGCTCTCGCCCTTTTTGTACATGTATTACAAATGGTAGGTACACAATTATCATACAGCCCCAAGTCCACGATAGCCCCTTTTATGAGTCTCGCGGCTTGTCCTCTTGCAGCTCTTCCTTCTTTAGCTCGCCCTCTTGCGGCTTATTCTCCTCCAGAGCGTCCTCTTGGAGTTCCACCTCCTTCAGTTCGTCCTCATTCGATTCCAGATTTAACTCCTCCTCATTGAGCTCGACCTCCCGCAGCTCGGCCTCGGTCAAGTCGTCCTCCTGGAAGAAATCCTCCTTCAAAGCCTTCTCATCAAGATCGTCTTCTCGCAACTCGTCTGTCGATTGGTCCCAGGATATTGTCTTCCACTGCGCCCTGTGCCCGAAAGCCTCATCATAAGTTACGGGATCGTCCATACCGAAGATGTGAACCGGGTTCTCCCGGGCCTTCTCTTCCACCTTCTGCCGGTATCTCCTGCCCCTCTTACTCATCTGCTCCAACTTGCCCGAAAACATATGGTACCACGGATCCGGCCGGTTGGCATTTCTGTCGTTTGAGAGCACCTTTCTGCGTCGCGTCTGTAGTGCTTTATACAGGGCCTCGGCGCGGCCCGCAGGAAGTTCTTCAATAGAATACTCCACGTTCCAGGACGATGACGGAGCCAGGGGGTCGGGGCGAGAGACGTATTGCCCATTAACCTTGTTCCGCACGGTCAGGACCATTCCGAGGAGCTCGTTATCGACGATATCAAGCTCAGGTGTGTCGTCTTCTTCCTGGGCTTTGCCGTCAACATCCTCGGGAGACTCATTGGAGGTTGCCGTCTGGCTGGCACTGGGGGCAACATTCTCAAGAATCTCAGCCGTTGCTTCCTCCATGTTTGAGGCCGGAGGTGTCGTCTTGATTTCCGACTGCTTCGACTCGGCAACCAGCTTAGAGAGAATACGCTCGAAGGTTCGGAGTTTGGAGACGTCAGAAGCAGTGTCATCTTTAGGAATGTCGGTTTCGTCCACATCGACATTCTCATCGACATTCTCATCGACATTCGAAGCAACCCGGAGAATCAACTCTTTCAGGCCAAGATTCCGAGAGCTGCGCACCCCTGTCTCTGGCGATGACTCCGCGTCTGTCTCTTGGGCCGACTCTGTTTCCTCGCCAGCGATTGGCACAGCTTCTTGTGCTGTGTTCGATTCACCAGCTTGAGCGTCGTCGGCCGAGGTAGTGCTAAACTCGCTTGCAGACATCGCATCTGTCTGGTTATCCTTTCCATCGTTGTCCTGCGCCTCGCTCACTTGGTTGCGAGTAAGTGCCTCCAAGAGGCCGTCGACATACCAGCGAGCTTCTTCAGGTGTCCTCGCCTTTAGCAATGCGCTCTGCTCCAGCGCGTCGTGGATTGCCTCCCGAACATGGCCAATGCCGAGGGCATCGTCTTCCACTGCCTCATTGACCTTCTCCTGCATTTCTTCCCAGAATTCTTGCGTCTGCCACACTTGGTTACTAGACTCAGTACTGGACCCATCGACGCCGACAGCCTCCTCGTCTTCCTCTTGACCAACTGGTTGTTCGACTTCCGTCTCTTGCGCTTCATGTTCCGCCGACGACTCCTGTGAGGCCATACCAAGGATCTGCTCCTCAAACTCTTTGACGGCGGCTTGGTTGCGCGTTTGGACCTTGTCGATGTCTTCCTTTGTAACAGGTTTCGCAAAAACGTACATGAAAGGAGGGTCACTAGGTCGCGTCTCCACATGAAGTCGGATGGATCGGCCAGGGAATCGTTCTGTCGCGCGGTCCAGGACCTTGTTGAGAAGATAGAGGCTGAGCTTGAATTCATTGTCTCCGACATTTCGAGCATAGGATCCGTGAATGGCTTGGTCCATCTCATTAATGGGGATGTACTGGAAACCGAAGATGCGTTGTGTGTTATGGAAGGCGACGAAGATGCCATCCATACGGCCCATCCGTACTTGCAGGGAATACTTGAGGAACGCAGATCTGATCATGTCGAAGTACTCGCGCTCAAAAGACTCCCACTGGCCGTAACGGCGGCGGATCTCATAGCCAAGTCCCTTGTGGAATCCCTGGGCGTCCATGCGAATTGAGACTACAGCTCTTGTCTTCAGATCAAACATTCCAGATCCTGGTAACCGTGGATCATACGCATCCAGTTGAGAACGCATGAGGAAGTCGCCCATGGTGGTGTAATGGAAGGCCTCGGCGGCATTGCGCTCCTCCTCGGTGATTTGGTCGGAGTTGGCACGGCGATACTTTTCGAACTCCTCTCTCGGCAGCGTCAATTGCTTCTCCATTGACTTTCCGAGCATGCTCAAGATACTGGCACTGTCGTACTCCTTGTCGGCATCGATCGCGTACACACCTTCATTGAAATGGAGGAAGGAGGCAGCTGGCGCACGAGAGATAGCAGTAAAGCTCGAATACTCGGGCGTGAACTGACGACTCATGTTTTCAGGGTTGATAGGCCGCCACGCAGAAAGCAAGAAGTGAAAATGGGACAACGTCTGGGTCATGCTGGACGTTGAGCCGGTGTACTTCCTACCCAGCTTGGCTGCAAGTGAGATCAAGGTGTTATCCTTTGAAGAGGTGACGTATTTCTGGAGCGCATCGAAGTCAAACTCGTTGATCGGCATAATATCGCCGAGGTAAGGATCAAAGTTGAAGACTCGCGAGCGGGGGTCCTGCATATGGTATACTCCAGGGTTGAACAAGACTCTGTCCAGTCCATACGCGAGTTTCGGCACCTCAGGAGCGTCTGGTAATTCGATGGGCACTAAGTGAAGACTCTCCGCCTTCACCCTCTTGACATTGACAAGAGGCTTCTCGGACTTCTTGAGCCTCTTGGGCTTGGGTGGGGGTTGTTCGCTGTCGTCGGGAGCTGTCTCGTCGGCAGCCGCTTCGTCGGGAGCTGTATCGGCGGCAGACCTTGCTGCGCCGAGAGCTGATGCACCAGCAGCCGCTGCCGCCAAACCCACTGGAGTCGTAAGGCGATTTTCAAGTGATGTCCACGCGACTTTCATTGGTTCTTCGGGTATCGGCTTTCGCTCCTCGCCAAGCAGCACCTTTCGCACTCTCATCCGAATATCCTCACGCCTATTCGGAGTTTCCTTGTTACGCCGAGCTGGATGAGCTTTGCTCTCAGAAGCTTTATCTGATGTGGTGCCCGACGATTTCGTGGTACTCGGCCTCTTTGCGAGGTGGTCTAACGGGATTGACTGGGAGCGCAAGACGCTCTTCAAGACATCCAGGGTACCAGAAATCACCTTGAGCTTCCCACCCAACCTGTCGCTCTGTTTCGCCACAAATGCGTCCAGTTCTCCCTTCTTCTCAGGATCAACTTTGGCTCCTGCGGCAGCCGCTCCCGTGGTGCCTTCATGAATATTCGACAGCCTGCTATTGATGGAGGCGTAGCTTTGCTCAAGCTTCTTCAAAGATTCAAAAACCTGCTTTATAACCTCTGGCTCGGGTGCTGTTTGAGGGTCGACCGGCTTCTCTTTGTCGGCGGGCTTTCCTTGATTGGCTGGCGGTTTCTTGCTTGACGATAACCCGGCCTTCGGTTGAGCTTTAGGAGCAGTTTTCTTGAGTGCTGGTTTCATCGATTTTGCCGTCCGTCCACCCTTGGGTTTCGCATCGCTCTGAGGTTTCGCATCGCTCTGAGGCTTCACATCACCGTCAGGCTTCGCATCGCTCTGAGGTTTAGTAACGCTCTTAGGTTTCGCTTTCCTAGGTTCCAAACCGCCCTTAGCTTTGACCTGTTTATCCTTCCCAGAATCAGCCTCGGCCTCGGGTATTGCATCGTTGCTAGGTTCCGCATCGTCTTTTGGGGCTGGCGTTGCTGTCGACTTCTTGTTCGAGATACTCCTCCTATAGCCTCGGTCGCCAGCCAGGGCGGTGGTCTGGAAGAAAGAGGGTCGTGTTCGACATGGCGCTGAAAGGCAGGGCCGGCAGGACGCACAAACGTAGGAGGTTCCGAGCCTCTGAAGGCGCAGGGTGTTTGCGCGAAGCATTGGAGGGAATGGTGACGAAGTGTAGCTCCAGACGTTGACGGGGGGGAGTTTGAAGTGGGCTAGAAGCTGCCGGTCAATTTTTTTTTCTGTTAGGTAGAACGGAACGCGGACGGGACGCGCCACTCAATCAATTGCGACAAGGGTTCAATGAAGTCTGGTCCGTGCATTCGCAGATCGCAAGCAAAACCCCTGTCACCCATGTCCCCCCTGTGTAAGGGAAGTAGGAAAGGCATCATGGTCGCTCAAGAATCAGGCAGTATGCTCTTACCAGCCTTACCTTACGGTCATAGTTTGCGGAGTTGAGGCAACTTACGAGGGGAGTAAGGTAGTAGTAGTTGCTGTCGTACAGCCCATCAACTTGTAAAGAATAACTACGACCTCTAAAGCAACGATTCCGGAATCTCCCAGTCAATTTCGCCGCATCATCTGGCAGCGATACAAATTGGGGGGGTATTATGCTTTCGCAAACAATCAGCTCATGCCAGGCCAAATACCGCACCAGACGCCAGTCCATAATGCCGTGAAAACATAATCCACGCTGAACCCCAACCTACTACTCCTTCCCAGTGAATGCGTGAGACGCATAGTCCGTAGCCGTCTGTCGCGCTGCTTCGGCGTCTGCGAATAGTGCTTGGACTTCAAAAGAATCAGCCAGCATACCATCCGCCACGCTCATCCAAAGCAAGTTTCCACTCCGCTTCGCCTGTGTCGAAGCCGCCCTTGCGCTTTTAAGAGCTTGTTCGCCCACCACATTATCGAACAATCTGGACCGCATGATGCTGAGAGCTATCGCCAGACAGTGCGTGTTACCTGTTACCCGAGACCCATTCAACGAGTTCGTGATACTCGTTTTGATCTGGTGCATAGACGGTGGGGGCATCGTCTGAGCCGTTGCCTGTACGAGATTGAAGGCGGTGCGTATGTCTGAGTCTTGATGTTCCATACACATCGGCCGCAACTGGTCTAATAGCTCGGTAGACGTCATCTCGTCGCGGTAAGACGAGTCTTGAAGGATCCAGATACGGTTCAGCGCAGCGAGTATGCACAGCTCCAGCTTAGCAGGCTTTCTGCCACCTGGACCCCCACGGCCCGCATCAATACTCAACCTCTCGTCTTCGAAGAGCAACAGAGCTGTCTCCAGATCACCAGTGCCTTGATGATAGACTCCGGAGAGGTAGAGCGAGAATACGCTGAAGATTTCGTTCACAGCTGGCGTGATGGCCTGCTGAAGTTGTGCCACGCACTGTTCAACCTTCGGCCATTGGCTGTGAGTTGCGAAGTATAGCCCCGTCAGAGCCTGCAAATAACAGAAGATTTCGGTCCTCCATTTAGACTGCTCCATCGACTCGCGCAGAGATGCCGCGGGAACACTAGGGGCTATCTCCTTGTTCCCTTCTGCTATGTCAGCTTCGTACATGTTGAGAACATCGCATCACACTTACATTTTGCCAATACATCAAATCCCTCCTTCCAGAATTCGTGACTCCTCTTAGGATCCGAACCAGGGCGGTACATGCCGGCCAAGCCACTGAACGTGTAGCTATTATTGGTCAGCGGATATCTAACACGGAAGCGCGTTATTGGATGGTGCTTACGTCAATACTATGATCTCTAGCCGGTTCAGAAAAGTCATGACAATATAATCGTGTTGTCCGTTAGTCGGCCCAGATCGAATAATTGCAGAGGTATCATCGCTGAGAGTTGCAGAAGTTGAGTTGTGTTTCTTGACAGGGATCAAGATCTCAGGATTCAGATCGGTCCATGTCTGGGATCCCAAATTTGCATCAAGTTTTGCTTGAAGTGTTCTCAGCTTGTGAATCAAGATATCGGGCGTTTTCTGGTGCATGCTACACGCAAGATCGAGCAACAGCGTCAAAACATCCAGCTGCGGTATCTGAACAGAGGGATCCAGTTGAAACTTGGTGGCTTGTGCCAGACAAGTTTGCACTCGTTCGATGGTATCAGAGCGCATGTTCCTCAGCACCGACAAGCCTTCCAAGAGAGAGGCGAAGACAACCATTGCGTTGTCGCCTCGCTCGCTCGCTAGAGCGGCGATAGCGCGCAAGTTGTCCAGCACTGCTGCATCAGGTGGACTACCCGCATGGACATGAAACGTGGCCTTTAGCAGACGAAAGGCGTAAACCCAGTGTATGTGTTTAAACCTAGTGTTTTTGTAAGCAATGGGGCAAGATCGGTTGAGGTAAGGTTACGACGACTCACGTGAGACAGTCTGCGATGTTCTTGTCAACTGCGATGAATGCCGCCTTCTGGTTTCTCTGAAACAGTACTTTAAGCAAAAGATATTGCATACAGTACTTGAGATCGGCATATCTGTGCTGGAATAAATGTCAACACAATACTCGGACGAGTAAAGACCCAGTTCAACAAACCTTGTCGCAGATGGTGATGCCCTTGCTCAAGGCTGTTTCTGCCTCTTGAAGGTTCTCTGTCTCGTCACACAAGATAGACGCATATCTCAGCCTAGCTTTCGCCTCTTGTCTCGGAGACAGTCGGTTGCTTTGGAATGCGGCCTCGAGACAGGCCAGTCCAGTTGTAATCAACTTTTGGTACTCGCGCACTTGGTCGTCTGACCCAGATACCGCCACTCTTTGTACGCCGCGGCGCGCCTTTTCGAAACACTCTTCTGCCACGTGAACAAGGATCGTTGTCGTGTCGTAAGACCTTGCTTTCGTCGATAAGGCGGGTGAGCCTCTGGAGGATATGGCCGGAGAGTTCATCGAGGATATTGCAGGTGACTTTCTCGCTATACTGGGGGATCGTGCCGGCTGAACAGTAGGCGAGTTGGCGTAGTGAGGCTCAGGGCTCGGTTGGACTGGGGAAGGTTCGGCGAAAGCTTGGTTCAGGACTGGTACGGTCTGAGTTTGACCCATGGGCGGCTGAGAGAACTGGGCATATTGTGGTACAGCCGGAAAGACTTGGGGGCTCCGCTGTTGCTGTAGCTGCTGTAGCTGCTGCGGTGGTTGAGGCGGCGGTTGAGGTTGTTGCTGGAAATGAGGTTGGAATTGTGGTTGTTGCGGCGGCTGATACTCAGCGTAAATCGGCGGCGTCGGCGTCGGTGTCGGTGCAGGCGCAAGCGCAGGGGAACGAGAGGCGTGTGTGGTTTGGATGAAGGGCGAGTGAGGAGGCGCAAACTGTACGTTCATCGCATTCCCGTGAGGAAAAGGCTGCTGGAGTTGGTGATGGTGGGGGTATTGCGGCTGCTGTTGCTGCTGCTGCGGGAAGGTGCCGCCATACGCAGGGAACTGCCCATATCCGTTTGGCTGCATATTCATCGGCGTAAGCGCAGGAAGAATGGGAGCAGGAGCTGAGGCAGGCGGTTGATGGTAGTTGCCGTGAATCGGTTGCGCTTGGCCGTGAGTGCCGTATGCAGCGTTCGCGTAGTTCGGATTCTGGCCATTCCCGCTCCCGCCGCCATTGCCATTGCCATTGCCATTGCCGTAGGGATCGTGGTAAGGTTGGGGGACGTTCTGCTGGCCATTGAAGGCCTGCCCCGAAGGCAAGGAGCCCCGGTATGTCATCTTTGGGACTGCATAGGGATCGCAGGCTTCGCTACATGGAGTCTCGACGGTCGCTTTGTTGAACTGGACTGACTTGTTGCGACGCCGTTGCTGTCCAATAGCCGCACCTGCAGGTCGCGAGGCTCCTCGAGGAACGACTGGTTGAGAAATGGCCCATGGTCCCCGCGTACCTTACATAATTACACGTGCCGTGGATCCCCCCACAGTTCCGGTCAGGGTGGGAGATGCACAGACCATGATGGCTCCGTCGTGACCGAAAAAGTTACACCCAAGGATGGAGGCGGACAGGCCTGAAATTCTGAACATTTGAATCCCGATGAGTGTGGCATCGCGTGGCTGAACACAGTCTTAGCCGCTGGGTGCGGTTATGAGCGACTTGGCCCTCTTTGTATTCTGATTGGCTGCGGATATGTGCCTCGGCTTGACGCCAAATTCATCTTGCTGTTTACCGCTATCTAGGTGATCCACGTCATTCGCCTTCTTTTCCCAAGCTTGTAATATGCTGTCGTACAGACATACCACCGAATCCCACTGCAGAACGGACACTTGGTGAACCCGGCGCCGATCTATCATGGTAGGCTGATTTGAGACCCTCGGTCCTACACCCAATACAAGACAAATGGCCCGTTGGTTCCCCCCCTGGACTTGAAGTCAGAACCCAGGGTCCATAGCAAACATTGTGAATTTGCACACCTTAATCGGAAGCTACCAGTCCTCGGGGCTCCACTGCCATGACTTATGGCTCTCCAACCATTCTCACATGGGTGTTTACTCTGACTTCGCAACAACCTACTTTGAGCTTCTGTTTCTTCTAGAAGCGTTAGCCTTTTCGTATTTCATAGCGCCGTGCGACTAACCCCTCGTTTCTCTTCTACTTGACGTTCTCACGTCGTCGACTGCTGTGTTGTCTAGTAACGGGCCTTCCACCTTTTGCTATCGCAAACTTTCTCTTAAGCCAAACTGTCTCGACCAACTGCTGTCCGAAGACTCCGAATCATGGACTGGCTAGGACATGCCAAAATCAACTTCACACACGCGCCATCGCCTGTGGCCCTCAAGGAGAAGGATGGCGCCCAAACCGACCTCCTCAAGATCTGTGAAAAGGTCACGCCGCCATGCCACATGAACCCGCTCCTCTTCAACGGTCACTTGCAGACCATGTGGACTGCTACGAAGCAGCACGGCCCCCCAGTGTACTATCGTCGAAAGGTCTTCAACGCCGACGACAAGGCCTTTGAGGGCACTTTCGCCGTCGACTTTGTCGCGGAGCCTTTTGAGGAGACTGACAGCACACTGCCGCCGCGGACGGTGTACTTTGAGGACCAAGAGTTTGAGACTCTGGCGTCGGACGACAACAAGCCCCAGTTGGTTGTTCTCCACGGCCTCTCGGGTGGCTCTCATGAGATCTATCTGAGGCATGCCATTGCGCCGTTGATTGATTCGGGAAACTGGGAGGTGTGCGTGGTGAACTCGAGAGGTTGCGCCAATAGCAAGTTCACTAGTGGTATTTTGTACAATGCCAGGGCAACATGGGATTTTCGTCAGGTCAGTGATCTACACTGCGTGTGAAGCTTTGCAGTAGACAAACTGACGGAGTTTTAGACCATCAAGTGGTTGAGAAAGAAGTTTCCTAACCGCCCTCTGTTTGGCTTGGGCTTCTCGCTCGGCGCCAACATGTTGACAAACGTAGGTTTTTAAGCTCTCACAATCCCCTTCTAACATTGATTGATGCTTTTACATTAGTACTGTGGCGAGGAGGGAGTCGACTGCCAGTTGACGGCCGCTATTGTGTGCTCCAACCCCTTCAACCTTGAAGTCTCAAACAAGGCGCTGAAGCGCACTTTCCTTGGTAGAGAGGTCTACCAACGAGTCATGGGAAGTGAGTTATACTCATCAAGCAACATGTGAGCTTTGATCCAGAGTGCTTACACACCTATTCAGCCAGCATGAAGCAGCTCATCAACGGGCATAAGGAGGAGGTACAGAAGCACACCAACCTCGACCTCGAACGTCTTCAGAACGTAACGTACCTGTGGGAGTTTGACAGAGAAGTCCAGTAAGTTTCCAAATGCCAACAGTCCCATAGAGCATTTCTCACAAAAGCAGATGCGTCAGCTGGGGCTATCCCACAGAGAGTGCCTACTACCGCGATGCGTCTTCCTCCGACGCGGTCCTGGCCATCCGGATTCCCTTCCTCGCCCTGCACGCCACTGACGATCCTGTAAGCGACCACTCCATTCAGCCCCTTGTCACGAGCAAGGTAACTAACCTTCTCAGATTGCCGTAGAAGAAGCTATCCCGTACGAGGAGTTCAGCAAGAACCCGTACACGGTTCTGTGCACCACCTCCTTGGGCGGCCACCTCTGCTGGTTCGAGCCCGGAGGTGGAAGATGGCACGCAAAGCCGGTACGTCCTACTATCCCAAGAATGCCGAGAGATCATAAACTCACAAGACTAGATTACAAGCTTCTTCAACCACATGGCGTTCAACGTGGACCACAGCAAGCTCCCTCCAAAGACCAATGGACTTCCGCCCAGGAACGGCAAGTCAGAGTTCCACTTCAACCCTGCGAGACACAGAATGGAGATCAAGGCAGGTTCGGAATAGCGAGACAAATAATAGACATCACAACAGAACGTATAAAGGCATAGACTTGGATGGTATAGATAGAAAAAGTACACCTGCTTTTTATTGACATTCGCAGCAGCGGACAAAGCTATGAAACAGAATAGTAACCAGACAGGTATATGCAACGACGAGATTCATCAACTCGCCGATACCTGGCTGATCGCTGTCCTGTGGTGGTGCATTAAGCTCTCGCGCAAGGTCAAGCCCTCGCCATGGTATCTGCTCTGAACGCCGTCGACACAACAAAGTGTTGAAACAAATAGACGACCCTCCCACTTTTTTACCAACCCAGTATGTTTTCTTTTTTGGCACTCCAAACGCCGCCCAAGATGCAAAGACATGCTGCTAGACTCTTCAGTGTTTAAACACCCCCTCGTGCCTCACTCACGCAAAGGAGACGCTCTTCTTCTTCTTGGGCTTGGCGGCCTTGGATCCTGCGCTCGCGTACTGATTGATCTTGTCCTCGTCCTCGGCGCGGGGGTTGCGCTTCCTCTTCTTGCGCAACGAGTCCTTGGTATCCTCCAGCCTAGACTTCTTCTCATCTTCCTTCTTCTCGGCCTCTACCTTGCGGGCCTCGCGGATCTCCTCCATTTGTCTCGCCTTCATCATCTTGGACTCGATCTGGCCCTCCTTCTCGGCCTGGACCATGGCGAGGATGGTGTTCATGCTCTCCTGTTCGGGTTGAGTTAGTTATCGTTATCGTCTACAGAAGTGACATCGCAGCGTCAGTGATCCGTACCCTGTCATCGACAAAGACCTTGCCCTTCTTCTTGCCCTTGGGCTTCTCTACGCCGACCGGCGTGATCTTGTTCAGCTTGGGGATGCCGAGCTCCTCCTCAGTGTAAACCTTCTTCTTGCGCTTCTTCAACAGGGCCTCGAGGTTCGTCTTGCCACCGGCCTTGAGCGGCTTGGTGCCCTTGGGCGTGTCTCTGGATTTCCTGACGATGCCATCGGGAACGGGCCTGTAGTCCGCGGCCTTGCTGTTCTTGATGCCGGAGCCGTTGGCGGCGTGCTTGTTCTTGATCGTTTTCGTCCGGTTGGGCGCCATTGTTGCGGATGTTCGAGACGAAATGTCCTCTTTTTGCGGGTGTGTGGCGGGTTGGTAAACAAATTGGAGCGTGTTCGCGACTCGGCTGACTGGGTGGTTGGAGGGACCAAAGGTGCGACTTTCTTAGAATTTTTTCTATGATTGGGAAGCGATAAGCTCACCGAGGCGGATGCGATAAGCTTGAGTGGGGCCCGCTCCCCGCCATTCGACCTCACTCGCTACAGGGGTCTGAATTCCGAGCCGAGACCCTTTCAACGCTTTGAATTGGTCGAAGTTGCAGTGCCGCACAGTAGAGATCAATTTAGATTTTATTTCTCCAAGGCAATTGAATCACATTGTAGAGTGAATCTGATTAGACAATCTCAAAAAGTGTAATGCGACCTGAGGTATGACTCGGTGGATTTCAATGTGAGCTGCAGCGTCAGAACAAGTTGCCAGGATCGGGACTGGTCTCAATGCGCCTTTTGCGGTGCAGCAGCGCTGTGCCATCCCTGTCAAAAAATTGGGCGACTGCCGTTATCGCACACCTTACGTCGTCTAAATCTCTCTTCTCACCTCTGCTTTCCCCAGTGACTAACATTCTCTCACAAGAAACTCACACAATTCCAGCATCACAGCAAGCCGTACGTGAGCCATTGGCTCTCGAGCTTCCTCCTTCTTCCAGGTCCTTTTCATCATAGCATTGGGCTGTCGCCAATTGGCAGAATGGCGCAACCCGTCAAGAGGTTTCCCGGCCACCTGGCTCAGTTTGTGAGGTGCTACTCGGTCTCCGCTGAGAGCATTCCGGCCGCCAAGAAGAAGTACGTCCCGACGGAGGGTACCTATCCCAAGGGCTTTCAGGCCTCTGGTGTTCTCGTCGGCGTGAAGCCCGGAAACAAGACGAAGCCCGATCTCGCCCTTCTCACCTCAGACCGGCCGTGTGCCGCCGCCGCTGTCTTCACCAAGAACAAGTTCCAGGCGGCGCCTGTCACCTTCAGCAGGGACTTGCTCAAGAAGAAGGCCAACCGCGGCATCCGCAGCGTCCTCATCAACTCGGGGTGCGCCAATGCCGTGACCGGAAAGGGAGGTCTGGAGGATGCTTCTCTGATGGCCAGCGCGGCTGACAAGGTTGTCGGAGGAGAGGGCGATGCGTCATCCACCATCGTCATGAGCACAGGAGTCATTGGACAGAGGCTGCCCATTGCCAAGATTGTCGATAATGTCCCAGCTGCTCAGGGGGCTCTAGGCTCCTCTCACAAGCACTGGCTGAGCTTTGCTACCGCCATCTGCACGACGGATACGTTCCCGAAACTCATGTCCAAGACCTTCACGCTGCCTTCGTCACCAAACGTTGAATACCGCATCGCCGGAACCACCAAGGGTGCCGGCATGATTCACCCCAACATGGCCACCCTTCTTGGAGTTGTTGCTACGGACGCGCCCATCTCGCCCGCCGTGATGCCTTCCGTCCTCAAGCACGCCGTCGACCGATCGTTCAACAGCATCACCATTGACGGAGACACTTCGACCAACGACACCCTCGCTCTGCTCGCCAACGGTGCCGCCGGCGGCAAGGAGATCTCCTCCGAGGACTCACCCGACTACGCCGCCTTCCAGCAGGTTCTGACCGACTTCTCCATCGACCTGGCCAAGCTCATCGTCCGCGACGGCGAGGGCGCCACCAAGTTCGTCACCATCCGCGTCGTCGAGTCTGCCAGCGAGGAGGCCGCGCGCAAGATTGCCAGCACCATTGCCAGGTCACCCCTCGTCAAGACTGCGCTGTACGGACGGGACGCCAACTGGGGCCGTATCTTGTGCGCGACCGGTTACTCGCTCGTGTCGGAGCCCGGCCAGGCCGTCAACGACGTCCCCGAGGTGACGCCCGAGAAAACCAACGTCTCGTTCGTTCCTACCGACGGCACGCCTGAGCTGAAGCTCTTGGTCAACGGCGAGCCGGAGATGGTCAACGAGGCCAGGGCTTCGGAGATTTTGGAGCTGGAGGATTTGGAGATCCTTGTGAGGCTGGGAACTGGCGACAAGGAGGCGACGTACTGGACTTGCGATTACAGCCACGAGTACATCACCATCAACGGTGACTACCGCACATAGAGGGGACAAAAAGGTTCAGGATTTGAAAGATGAGCTCAGACTAGAGAGCTTGAAGCATTGTCATATTAGAAGAGCGTCTATAACGTTACTTGGCCGTTGTTTGTCAAGAGAATAGACCCAGCCAGCCATTTGAAGAATTACTATAATTGCCATATATCAGGTATCATTGGCGGCCTTGAAAGCGTTGTCAGCGTTACGTTATAAGGCGCAAGGGATTCGGAATTGCGTTCCCAAGAACAGGGTCAGCCAAGGCACCGAAAGAAGTATCCCGCCGGTTTGAAGGCCGCGCCGAGGCACGCGCCGAGGCATCGGGGTTGGGTGCGGGGACTGCTATTGGAGGCCGGCACAGCTGGCGCTCCCCCGCAACGGTGACGCGCCGAAGTGGCACCACCGCATTGCTTTGAGCTTTTGGGTGGATTATTGAGCGCCGGGGAACGATTCTAATCAGGGGGATATGTTAATCTACTATAGAGTGATTGCTTCAAGTTACCTTGGGTAAGTTGAGGACTGGTAACTTAAGTCTCGTAGACAGTGAACCAGGGTGATCCTGTTACAGGTATCTGATACGACCGGAATCTACTTCTATCGTCACGGGAATGAAGTCCGTCTTGAACCCACCTCAGCCCACCTCATGGACAATTTGACGATGAGATACCTAACAAAGTGACCTAACCTCTTCGTACGGAAATGTGAATCCAGAGCTGTATCCGTATGCACGGCAGAAACCCACTGCTCGAAAATCTGGGGCGGCCCTGGGGCCATTCTCAGACGCGGAGGGCGGAGAGCGGAGGTTCAAGACGGCTACCCCAGAGAATCCCCACCTTTTGGGGGTCCCTAGGCAAGCTCCAGAATCAACCTCGGCTGCCGGCTCGTCCCATTGCTCTCGTCTACCGTACGATGAGACTAAACACTCCTCGTTCAAAAAGGGAGTAGAGATCCATGCCCAATTGACGTTGTTCCCCATTTCTTGCAACCTCTGTAATTTCCCTTGACTTGAACATCACCATTTTCCACTCCGAGACGAATCCATCTGTACTATCCTAATTCGCCTCGCTTCCAAATTTCAAGATGACGTCCAGAGTCCCAGCCATTGTGAGTCGCTAGTGCGGGGAGAGCTTCCCAGCTCAGGTATCTGTTTTCAATGCACAGCATCGCTGACGCAAGCTGCCGCCTCTAGGTCTTGGATCGCCTCAGCGATCGCGCCAAAGAGGCGCTCGATCTCGTAGCCAAGTTTGTTGAAGAAGAGTGCATCCCGTAAGCGAATCATTTCCGTCACTTCACCAATGCCAGCTTTACTGAACGCCCTACGTGGTACAGCGCAGACCCCGTCCTGGACGCCCAGATCGGCCAGGGCGACTCGAGATGGGACCACCACCCCGCCATCGTCGACGACCTTAAAGTCAAGGCCAGGAAGCTCGGTCTGTGGAACATGTTCTTGCCAAAGGGCCACTACAAGGAGTCGCCCGGCTTCACGAACCTCGAGTACGGCCTCATGGCCGAGTGGCTCGGCAAGTCGCGCGTCGCCTCCGAGGCCGTCAACTGCGCGGCGCCCGACACGGGTAACATGGAGGTGCTGGCCAAGTACGGAAACGACGAGCAAAAGGCAAAGTGGCTCAAGCCGTTGATGGAGGGCCAGATCCGCTCTGCCTTTTTGATGACGGAGCCCGAGGTTGCCTCGTCGGATGCGACCAACATCCAGCTTAGCATGCGCAAGGAGGGCAACGAGTATGTCCTGAATGGCTCGGTACGTTGTGGAAACACTAAAGCTCCAACTTGGAATCATGGCTGACACACGAAAACAGAAATGGTGGTCCAGCGGTGCCGGTGACCCCCGATGCTCGGTTTACATCGTCATGGGCAAGAGCGACGCAAACAACAAGGACCCCTACAGGCAACAGTCCGTCATCCTCGTCCCCGCAGAGACAAAGGGCATCACCATTCACCGCATGCTGCAGGTCTACGGCTACGATGACGCACCCCACGGCCACGGCCACATCAGCTTCAAGGACGTTAGAGTCCCCGCCAGCAACTTGGTGCTCGGCGAGGGCCGCGGCTTCGAGATTATCCAGGGCAGACTTGGTCCCGGCCGCATCCACCACGCCATGCGAACCATTGGAGCAGTAAGCTCATCATCCGCACGCTGTCGTTTTAACAGCACAGTTTCTAACGCATATGTCCTAGGCCGAGCGAGCTCTCGAGTGGATGCTGATGCGCATCAACGACCCGACCAAGACGCCATTCGGCAAGCAGCTCAAGGAGCACGGCGTCATCCTCGAGTGGGTAGCCAAGTCCCGCATCGAAATCGACGCCGCCCGCCTCGTCGTGCTCAACGCGGCCATCAAGATGGACGACCACGGGGCCAAGAAGGCGCTCAAGGAGATCGCCGAGGCAAAGGTGCTCGTCCCGCAGACGGCGCTGACCGTCATCGACCGCGCCATCCAGTCGTTTGGCGCGGCCGGCGTCTGCCAGGACACGCCGCTGGCGAGCATGTGGGCCAACATCCGCACGCTGCGGCTCGCTGACGGACCTGACGAGGTGCATCTGCAACAGCTGGGCAAGAACGAGAACAAGAGGGGCAAGGACGTCACGGACAAGATCCAGTGGCAGAGGCAGAAGACGGAGCAACTGCATGTGCAGTACAAGACCAAGACGTTCCAGCCTGGGGCGCAGATTAGCAGGTCCAAGTTGTGAGATGGCGTCGCGTCGGCAGCTAGTTGTTATGTGTAGTTGAATGATATCTTTGTGTACAATATCGTGAATGACAGGCCTTGATTTGGTCAGTCTAGGCCTGTCACCCCGGAAAGGATTGACAATTGGGATGAGATGTTATCTGCAACCCGTTGGCCCGCCGCCTCCCATGTTCTCTGAGTCACACTAGCACCCCATTGTCTGGCCATGTGTAGCGCAAGTGAGGCACATGGTGATTGACCAGTTCAAGAGACCCTGCTGCATTAAGGTCCGGGAGGTGACGCTACTAGTTACCTTGGAGATGGGCGCGTTGGACAGCTCAGAACCGTTCATGCCGGCAGCATTGACCACAGATGCAACCTCTTTCCCCCGGTGGGACGGGAGATGGAGATGGAGGGGGGGCAGAGCCACTCCACGACCGAAGAACTAGGAAGGCAAACAAGCATTGCCGTAGCTCTCGATTGCTTTGCTGTACAAAATTGATGGGCAAGATGGATGCAGATGGATACAATGGCAAGGAACCATAGCTGGCAACATAAGGTCCGGGGTGCTGGGTTGCCCAGGAAGCCCGCTAATAATCTAGAAGGAAAGGATGGAAAGGAAAGGAAAGGGAAACCTGACAGCGCATCCTTCCTTCCATCACACAGGCGACAGGCGATGGCCGATGGTCACAGCTTCTTCGCGGCTTCGCCTGCCCTCCACTGACTGACAAAGGCTCGGTGTCTCTTTAGTCGTAAGTACTCCGTACAAAGTATTCGTAGTGTCTGTCGTCCCCTGGCAGGTTAGGCCCAAGACCCGCATTCCTTCCCACCCCTGAACCCCTGCACCAGCTGCACTTTCCCACAGCGCCGTCGCCGTTTCGATTAGGCCGTTGCCCCGTCAACATCCCAGAAAATTCGTTTACTTCGACACCCGGCAACTGCTCCACCCACTTTACCACCCAAGTGTTGCTAGACAGGGCCAATTTGGTGCTTCCAAGAGAGAGAGAGAGCGTGCATCTTTTTCACATCCATTCACGAACGTCATAAACACTCCACGGTAAATCCTGTGCACCAGCGCAAGCACCCGTTAAGTACAAAGACCTTCTTCCTTCTCTGCGTTGGGCCCCAAGCCACATACCTCAAACCACCCAAATCCATCACCACCTTACACATCCATCTTTCTTCACCATCCCACTGCAGACCAGACCAGACCATCCATACACACACGCACTTTGCGCCCTCAGCTTCACGTCTTCTATACGCGTATCAAGCAGCAGAACCACCTTGCCAGCTTCCAGCACAGCTCAGCATTGCGCATTGCACATCCAGCAACCAAACCAGTACATCACTCAAATCACAGCAAACATGTCTCCCAATGTACTCGGCGACAAGGACGTCAACGCCACCGTCGTGGCCAGCGACCCGCAGTCCGCCAAGGACCTCAAGAGCATGGAGTACCACCGCCAGGTCCTGCAGAACAAGATGGCCCAAGAGAAGTACGACCGACTACAACCTCGTAGCAGTTGTAAGAACAAGACCCTAAACTCCATCGCTCTCGATAGGTCCAAGACGTACATCTCGCCATCTGACAACATCATGAGCCCTTGCACCGCCAAGCTCAGCGCCCTCCGCAACAAGCAGGTTGGCAAGTAAGTCATACCATCTTCTCCCGACATTGTCTACTCTTGTCAAGATCAACAAATACTAACCTCTCTTGCCAACAGGGTCAAGCCCAAGTCGCTCTTCGCCCAGACTTCCGCCAAGAAGCTCAGAGGCGATGCCGCCGTATTCGGCGACCAAGCAGGCACACCTACCAAGGACAACGCCTTCTAGGCAGCGTCGTCGCATCTTCTTCTGACCAAAACAACATAAAAGCTTCACTTCGCTAATGGGATTGGCTCGCGGGTTGTTTTACTAGTTTTATCTCTTCCTCTTTTTGGGGAGAGACACTGAATTTGCGCCTCTGCTGGCTTTTCCAGTCTGTTTTTGAGGGTGGGATAGGGTTCTTTGGCGTTTTACGGGTAGACCGAAGTCTGACTCCAGGATAAAAGGGGTTGGATTGTACTACACCATGACATGACACGAAACGATATCAGGCTTTTCTTTTGCTTTTCCACGACTAGGATTCTAGAAGGACTGTATTCATCAGCCACCGCGCTATTGTCGGTCGGCCTGAGCAGGAAATACAAATCCTCGTAACCTTTTTAAACCACGCTTTTTTTTTTTCATCTGATGAATTCATTTCTCATGCCTTCCACGCGCTCACGACGCACACCACATCCTCGTCCGCCACCGCATGCCCGAGTCCCACTCTCTGCGGAATATGCCTGGCGCTCGCGCCCCAAACGAGCGCGTACTTGAAGGTATCCTTGAGCGTCCTGTGAATGCGGTCGCACACGTCCTCAATGGTACTGTTGCTCCGCACGATGAGCGCCTCGCTGAAATCCGGGTCGGCGCCCTGGCGCTTGGTGTAGATGCGGATGAGCTTGAGCTCCTCCCAGCAGCGGTCGACGACGTCCTGGATGCCGAGGTCGAGCTCGCACGACATGACGACGGTGTGGGGCTCGCGGGCGAGCTTGTCGAGGAAGTCGAGGGAGACGGAGT